GGGGAAGGAGGGAAGGGAAGTGGAGGAGGCGTGGTTGGTGCTTGCTGGAGGTGGGGTGAAGATGTGGATAAATGGGGAAAATGGAAGCATGGGTTCTTTGACCACGCAGAAGGGCTTCCAGGCGCCTCTAACCCCACGTGCTGTGCTGCCCCTGCTCCCTCCCTTACCTCCTCTTTCCTTGACTGCCTTCCCTCCTCCCCTACCGTTGCCAAGTGGCAGGCGTGCACTGGTGGTACAACTCGCACGCGGCGGGGAACAACAAAACCTGCTTTCAGACGCCCTTAACCCCTCGCGCTGCCGCCTCCTCCATCCCTTCCTCCCTTTCCTCCTCCCAGGTAGCAGGCGTGCACTGGTGGTACAACTCGCACAACCACGCGGCGGAGCTAGCAGCGGGGTACTACAACCTGCGCGAGCGCGACGGGTACCGCCCCATTGCGCTCATGCTCGCCCGCCACAACGCCATGCTCAACTTCACGTGTGCTGAGATGCGCAACCACGAGCAGTACTGGGAGGCACGCTGTGGACCGGAAGGGCTCGTGCAACAGGTGAGGGAGAGTGGGGGGAAGGAGGAGGGGGGAAGGAGGAAGGGGGAAGGAGGGGTGGGGATGAAGAATATGATTTGAGTGGAGTGGACATCACGTGCGCTGAGATGCGCAACCACGAGCAGTACTGGGAGGCACGCTGTGGACCGGAAGGGCTCGTGCAACAGGTGAGGGAGAGTGGGGGGAAGGAGGAGGGGGGAAGGAGGAAGGGGGAAGGAGGGGTGGGGATGAAGAATATGATTTGAGTGGAGTGGACATCACGTGCGCTGAGATGCGCAACCACGAGCAGTACTGGGAGGCACGCTGTGGACCGGAAGGGCTCGTGCAACAGGTGAGGGAGAGTGGGGGGAAGGAGGAGGGGGGAAGGAGGAAGGGGGAAGGAGGGGTGGGGATGGGGAATATGATTTGAGTGGAGTGGACATCACGTGCGCTGAGATGCGCAACCACGAGCAATACTGGGAGGCGCGCTGCGGGCCAGAAGGGCTCGTGCAACAGGTGGGGAGAGGGGAAGAGGGAGTAAGGGGGATGAGCAGGAAACGGGGTTGTGAGGGGAAAGGAGTAATGTGTCATTTCTCTTCTCCCCTGCGTCACCATCTCTCCGTGTCCCCACTGCCCCCTCACCTTCCCCCGTTTCTCGGTGTTGGCGGCATGCAGAAACACCCTACCCCGCTTATCACTTCCCGCCCGCCCGCCCGCCCCTGTATCACCACCACCTCCTGCATCCCCCTCTCGCCCCTCCTCCCCCACCACTAACAACACCCACGCCCAGACAGGTTCAGGGACGGGCGGAATGGCGGAAGGGCGTGGGAGTACCACCTCTCTCTTTCCGTACCTCTGATTACCCATATCCCCTTCCCCACCACCACCAACGTCGCTCACTCCCCTCAGGTGCTGGACGCGGGGTGGCAGGAGGGTCTGGAGGTAGCCTGTGAGAACGCCCTACCGCGCTACGACGTGGCGGCGTTTGACCAGATCATCCACAACGCGCGCCCGGACGGCATCAACTGGAGCGGGCGGCCCAAGCGGCGCATCTCCTCCTTCACCTTCCTGCGCCTGGGTCCCGACCTGCTGCGCGAGAGGAACTGGGCCGAGTTCGTGCGCTTCGTGCGCCGCATGCACGTCGGGCTGGTACGCGCACCTGTCAATGCTGTGGGCATGGGCATCGGCGTCGGCGTGGGCGTGGGCGTGGGCGTGGGCGTGGGCGTGGGCGTGGGCGTGGGGATGGGTAGATGGGGCGGTGGTAGATCTGAGCAACTGCGATTTGATTCCTCTTCCTGTTGCGCTGTTGGGCGGTTGCTGCTGTGCCTCTGCTACGCATTGGCCCCACAGACTTCCGTTCTCAATTGTTTTCCCACTTCCCCCCCCCCCCCCCCTTCCACGCTCTTCCAGTCCACTCTTGGCTCAACCACCTCTCCCATCCCCCATCCCATGTCTCCCCCCTCCTCTCCTCCCTTCCCAATCCGCCCAGGATCGGCATCCCGAGCCTGAGCAATACTTCAACCCGCGCAAGCTGGTGCGGCGGTCGCGGCCCAAGCAGGCAGTGCCGCAGGACCCCCCTCCTGCCCCTGTGGCGTCCGTGCCCCTGCACTCGAGCTCTCTACCCCTCTCCCCGCCCACTGCTGCCCAACCCTTCTTCTCGCCTGATGCCCCCGGTGGTGGCTTGGGTGCTGAGATGGAGGCACAGGGGCAGGGGCAGGGACAGGTGGAGCAGGGTGGAATTTCGCCAGGGGATCAACAACAGCAGCAGCAGCAGCAGCAGCAGCAGCAGCAGCAGCAGCAGCAGCAGCAGCAACGGCCGGGTTTCTTGTTTGGTCAGGGGAGGGGACGAGGCAGCGGGGAGTGGGGGGGAGAGAGTGAGGGGGAGGAGGCGAGAGGCATGGAGAGGTTGAATCCTGTGCAGTGTAGGGAGGGAGAGCAGTCAGAGTGCTGCCAAGACAACCGGACAGGCGCAGGCGTAGGGGCAGGGGCGGCCGAGGGAGGTAATGGTGGAGAGAGGGGCGACATGACCAGTGGCATGGCTGTGAATGGATCAGAGGACAGGGACGGGACGGTTGGAGCCGCAGGGCTGTCAAGTGGAGGGTTGGGGAGGGAATTCGGGACAACGGGAACAGGAGGGGGAGCAGGTGGGGGTGGGGGATCGGGAATGGAAGGGAGTGGAGATGGTGGGTTGTCATCACCGATAGTGGCGGTGACAGAAGCGCTTTCTCTTGCTGCAAGGAGTCTTGTCACGCAGTTGCTGCCCGGGCAGGGTAGAGGGGAGGGGGAGGGACAGCAACGGCAGGATTCCACGACAACAGGCCAGCAAGAGACGCAGCAGCAGCCGCAGCAGCAACAAGAGGAACAAGAGCAAGGAGAGCAGCAAGGGCGAGAGGAAGCAGAGCGGCAGGGGGGTGCGGAGAGTGTAGATAACGCAGGCGGTTTGAGCTGAGAGGTTTCTGCTTGTGTATTAGATTAGCCATTCTTTTGGTGAGTCAATTATGTGTGTGAAGTCTGTCAGTGTGTGCTTACAACTGCTCCTGTGTGCTTGCAGTTGCAACCATCCCGGTGTGCTCACAAGGTTCCCTCCATCGCTCAATCTGATCCGCTAGCCCATCTGTTGCTCTTGTACTAATCTCCCCACATTTCCCTTCCTCTCCTCCCCCCTCCTTTCCCTTTTCTTCTCCTCTGTCTGGCAGCAGGAGGAGCATCAAAAGTGTCCTCCCCTGCGAGTAGCACATTAGGAGTCAACTGGTGGTTGGCTAGGCCTGGCTTCCAGCTGCAAGTAGCAGTATCCTGGCAGCACTACTCCCTACCCGGAGAGTCCACTAGCTCTGTATTTTGAGCCGCCTCAAAAATCGTCCTGGCAGCACTCCTACAGACCCACCCTGGGTCCATTAGTATAGAGACTACCCCCCATCCATCCGACGCGCGTTTCTCTGCCTGCAACGCATGCGCGAATCAGAAACGCTCCATCCATCCCACAGCTCCTGTCCTGGCCACAGCGGTGTTTTTGCGCAGTCCTCAGTCAGACAAGGGCATGCACATGCATGCTCCTCTCAAGTGGTCCGTGTATTAGATCCGAGCGATTACACACATGCTCCTCTCTCGCGCTGATGTGTGCATGTGCTGGTGGTGCACACCCTTCCCCCCTTTCTTTGTGGCATACCATGGCCAGTTTCTGCCAAGGGTGGGGGTCCGGAGACTCCGGCGCAGGCGGAAAGGAATTACTCAGGCAAGGCAAGGCATCATGGTGCTTTGCTTTCGCTGTGGTGTGGTGGCTCCATTCTATTGGTTCGTGAACAGCCCCATATTGGGCCGTGCTGTGCTGTGCTTCTGCTTTTGGCACACTGCCCGGATGAAGGTTGGCCTACCGCTTTTGACTGGTTTGCACCAGTCATCATCACCGTCCCTGCCACCTATGTCATCATCATCATCACCTCCATTGCCATCTCCATGGGTTGGTCATAGACTCAACGGTGCTATCACCATCACGAAGAGATCTGATCAGCCTGCCTTTTAGTACAGCTGCCTCTGCTGTCTCTGCTGCTGTTGCTGTATGATACATGTGATTGGCTTGCATTATTCTACCAGTAATAGTTAGTGATAGCACAATGCTGGTTCCAAGTCACTGTTATTATATTTGTCTGCTTGTTCCTCTCCCCCTGTCCTGTCCTGTCCTGTCCCGCATTTCTGTTCCGGTTGAGGATTGGACATGTAAATAGAACATGTATAGGGCCCTAATGAATATGCTTTGTGTAATTTCTTTCGGTCACTTGCCCTCATTTTGTAGAAATTATGTTTCTAAACATGGAAGAGAATTCTTATAGAGAAGACAACCCAAAGCCTGTCTTCCTTTTCGTATCACAGGCCTCTATTACTCAGGCTGCTGATTCAAATCCAGCAACGGAGGATTGAGCAAGCACAGACCAATCCCACACTCCGTTCGCTCAGCCAACGCGACAATCCCTTGAGAGAGTCGCTTTTCATGGGGGTGTGCGTTCGTTTTGCGAAAGCCTTCCGCAAACAGGCAGGATATCATATGCCAGCCCGCGTGTTGCATGATCGGATGGTGTGTGCAATGGCAGAAATGTTATGTATGCTACTGTACGATGAAACTGTTCGTCTGATGGTATGGGATGGTGGGTCTGACTGCATTAGATGGGGTGTGTGATTGCACGGGATGGTAAGTGTGAAAATACGGGATGGTGTGTGCTGGCGTGGGTCGTGTGCGATGAGATTGGATGTTAATGGGCGCCATGTTATGAAATTGACTACCTTGGATGAAATTGACTATCGGATGCATGGAATAGTGGGTGGCACCACATTTAGGCCAACCATTTACAGACCACTCGTAGCCTGCTTCAATGCTCAGGTAGTCGGTCTTTCATGGAAATATTTTCTTCAACTTTTAAGTGAATGTGTACATAAAGAGAAAACCAGAACCTCACGGTATATTATTTACAGATGTTGCGAGCGACCCTACTCGTCGTCATTAATGAACTTCCCTGTACCGGGGTTGATAGCCGCGATAAAGAAGAACGCGATACTGGCGAGAAGCAGCGGCTCCACCTCCCAAACAGGCAAACCAGTCTCGATATTTAGCTGCGCCAGCGCGCCTCTCCCGGTAATCACCTCACCCACCAAGCTCGCCGCAAACCCTAGTTGCGCCATGCGCCCTACGAATAGCTCATTCGCCTTAGTAAACCCGAACAGCGGCCCGTCCTCGCTCAACCCTAGCGCCGCCTTGAAACTCCCCGGCTTCACCGGCGGACCCGCAGGCGCCTCGTCGTCCACGAAGCGCCCGCGGTCGCCCAGACCGCCAATCGCGCCGAGCACGGTGAATGCGATGAAGAATAGGAGCAGCGGCTCGGCCTCCGTGATGGGGATTCCGGTTTCGAGGTTGAGTTGCGAAAGGATTCCCTGCCCGGTTACCGCTTCGCCGAGCAGCGACGCGGCGAATCCGAGCATCGCCACGCGCCCCACGAAGAGCTCGTTAGCTTTTGTGAAGCCGAAGCCTCCGGATGTGCCAAAGATACCGTCTTCGGTGCGTGATTGCTTCTTAACGGGAGCGTTCTTAGCGGGGGCGGCGGCTTTGTTGAAGCCGAAGAGCGCGGTAACCCCAAGGCCGCGGGGAGGGACGGCGGAAGGTGCTGCTGCCAAACGACTGAGGGAGATAAAACCAGCGCCCTTCACTGCTGCGCTGAAGGAAAGGGCAGCGAGAGACTGGTGTGCGACCAGGGAGGAAGCCATGGCGATAAGTAATCGAATCAAGATGTTTGAATAAAGGAGAATGTCGGGGAAATGTTAGACACTCAACTGATCTGAAGCACTGAGATTTCTATTGATGAGTGCCGAGGGCCATGAATTTATTCGTTTCTCAAGCCGCGAATTGACATTGACTGTGGAGTGGAGCGGAGCTGTGTTGTACCAGAAAGGGAGCAGAAATTCATCGTGAGACGTGGCTGTCTAATCGGGGCGCCACGCTGGATGTTCCGCTTTAGTGCTCGATGGTTTCCGACCAAGACGAGAGCCAGATGCGTGGCCTATTTGCTGCCACAAATGCTGGCACACGTCAGATCTCCTAAGCGATGGTCTGAATGATCTGACGTGTCGTCTGGAACCTTTTGGGACAATCAAGCACCGCTCGTATTGCTGGTATTGACCAAATGTGACCATATTTGCTGGACGAGTGGTACAGTAGCACCCCTTTAATCATTACACCTTTTAGGAACCCACTCCGTACATTGAAACTGTAAATAAAATTACATCAAGAATGACTTTGCACCTCAGTTTCTTCACAATGGGGTGATATCCTGAGGCATAGTACCAGGCAGGGCTAATTTATCAGTGTAAATCACCCTGATACACTGATAATCAGGGTGGTTTTTGGTAGTCACACTGATGCTTTAGGGTAAAATTTTCTGGAGCTTAGATTTTCCTGATATGCCAGGGTTTACGTTTAAAGCCCGTAGCTAAAATAGTGACCCCCCCCTTCTAGTTGGACCCAACTTGATTACTCAAGTCTTTTTGTATTGTTTTGAAAAGTTGGAAGTGCTGTGTGCTTTTTTTTTCAGCCTTCATACGAGTTTCGTAGTGGGCCTCGAACGAAAGTTCTTCCTCAATTCTGATTGGCAGCCAGAATCCCTCACATGTACGTGTGCGAATTTGGCGCAAAGTTGAGCGACGTGCACTCCTGCACTCACTAGAGCCGATACTTCACCAAGGTCACATTTATCAACATCTCACTCTACTCCCAAGCGGACACACATGTACGTGATGAGAGCCAAATACACACGCTAGTGCCTATACTTTACCAAATTCGCATCTAGCAATGTGCGGCCTTGGACTTGGAGCCTGTGAGAGGTGCAATAACGGGGAATGGAGGAATAAAAAAAAAGCGGGGGGAAATGATGATGGGCAAGGTGATGCGAATGAAGAGAAAGAGGGTGATGGGGATAGAGGAACTGGAAACTGGCGACGGGGTGGCAGGGGAGAGAGGAAGGGTGACGGAGGGCACTGGAGAACACCAGGAAGACGGGAAGGTACGGGAGAAGGTGAGGGCGACGGAAGGGGATGGGAGAAAGTGAGGCGACAGGAAGGGGATGAGAGCTGACGATCACGAAGGGAAGGGAAGCCTCGTCTTCCATGAGAGAGATCGTGAGGGAATGGGAAGTGAGATCGTGAGGGAATGGGAAGTGAGATCGTGTGGGCGATGAGAAGGGAGGGGGGACTTGCATTGTGAGGGAATGGGAAGTGAGATCGTGAGGGCGATGAGGACAGATGGGAGATGGCGAAATAGACGGGAGGGCGACGGGATGTGAGAGCCGATCGCGAAGACGATCGGAACGGAGGGCGACGCGAAATGGGAGGGCGACGGGAGAGGCGATGACATCAGATCGCGGAGGCGATCAGAACGGAGGTCGACGGGAACGGAGGGCGACTGGAAATGGGGGATCGATACGAGTTCGCGAGAGAGATAGCGAGCGCGACGTGGAGAGGGGGGGAGATAGCGAGCGCGACGAGAAAAGGGGGGGAGATAGCGAGCGCGACGGGGAGAGGGGGGGAGATAGCGAGCGCGACGAGAAAAGGGGAGGAGATAGCGAGTGCGATGGGAGGGGAGACCTTGAGCGCGGAGGCGATGCGAAGACAGGTGCACGTGAGCGTGATTGCGAGGGGAGGGAGGAACGTGAGCGCGATGCTGATGGGAGGGGAGGACGTGAGCGAAAGGAGATGAAGTAGGCGACGGGATGGGAGGGGAAATTACAAGGGCGACGGGAGGGAGAGCGCGAAGGCGACGAGAAAAGTGATGGCAGGGGGGGGACAAAGGGCGCGGGGAGGGTGTTTCAGAGAAAGAGCGTAGGCGACGAGGTGTGTAATGGGCGGGGAGAGAAGAAAGGCGACGAAGGGGGGGGAGGGGGAAGGGATATCGCGAGGGCGACGGGAAGGAAAATGCAACGTGAGGGAAGGGAGATAGTGAGGGCGACGGGAAGGAAAGGGGGGACATTGAAGGCGAGGGGAGGAAGGGATAACGCAAGGGCGACGGGAAGGAAGAGGGGACATTGAAGGCGAGGGGCGGGAGAACGGGAGGGCGACGGGATCGGAGGGAAATCGCGAGGGCGAGGGGACAAGAGGGGTGAACGGGAAAATAATGGGACGGGAGGGGAGACCGTGAGGACGACGGGAGGGCCGTCACGAGTGTTTTTGCGAGGGCGACGGAAAGGCGTCGGGACGGACTAGAGAGAGGCGACGGCGGACCCCATTAGCAATGGCGAGTGCGACGAGCAGCGAGGGGAGATAAACGAGGGGAAACTGGCACTGCGCTGCCAGGCGACGTATTACTACGTTTCACACTCTTGCTAAGTCGACAATCGACGCACTCGTCGGTAATTACGCGGCTATGGCACAAACGCCTGCGCTTTCAGCTATACTACTTACTATGCTATGCGGAAACTAGTGATGAAGGGAGTGACGGAAATCTAGTTATGCACCCCCCACCAGCTTGAAAATGAAGTTGGGCCTGCGATGGGAAACCATCGCTTGGGGTTTGTCGTGCGGATGCGGCACGCAAAAATGCGACGGCTGAAATGAGAAACAAAGTTCTTTTTGGCGGGAACCATCACGTTCCATTGTGGCGAGAGCCAATAACATAAGTTCACTCTGCCCATAGAAATCGTTTGAAACAGTGTTTTTGAGACTGGTTTCATATTCCTTATTCAAGTTGGGACGGGGGTCACTATTTTAGCTGCGGGCTTTAAGGCACACTGTCGCCCCAGGGTTACCATTACTCTTAGCGAGTTTACCCTGAAGCGAATGCCACACCCGCCCCTCGGATCTCTGTCCTCCTGATAAGTAAAAATCCCGTCATTGAAATTCTCATGTTGAAGTGGCCCGGTCAGTAGATTGGACTTCGGAAGAAAAAAGGCTCGGAATCGGATCCTGCAGCTGGTGTTTTTATTCAAAACTTCAGGAGAAACACTTCATCAGGGTTCTGAAAATTGTTACACTGTGGCCTAAGGGTAAATTTCTTGTAACTATGGAAAACCCTGATGGAAAAGTAGTTTCCCAAAGGGTCACACTGATAATCAGGGTTTTGCTAAGGTGCAGGACTGATGATAAGGGTTGCTTAAAACAAAAAATAAGCCCTGGTACCAGGGATTTCAAGCCGTGAAAAACACCATATTTCCTACGAGAAGCTAAAGCTCAAGTATATCAGATGCAGGGCTGGTGTGTGCCTTGCCTTGGTTAGGATAGTGTGCTTCACTGCGCATCGTTCTGAATGGAGTGAGGGGAATAGGAAGTAGAAGTATAGGTAGAGACAAAGGCAGTGTGGGCAGTGAGTGCCAGACAAGGGTGGGGTGAGAAGGGAGCAGGCAGGGAATGTTAAGGAAAAAGGAGGAGAGGAAGGGAGGGGAGATATACCACTGATTGGGAGGAAGGGGGTTTGATTGCAATGAGGGGAAGAGCTTAAAGGGGGAACGCTACGCACAGATAATCAGGGCAGCTAGGGGTGTGTGTGTATAAGGAGGAAAAAATGGCTTACTGATCTTCAATATAAAACCAACCTGTTCTACCCCTCCCACCACACTCCCTCTCACCACCCCACTAACCTCCCCCATCCCCTGCTCCCCATCCCCTGTACCCCCACCCGTTCTCCTTACTCCCGCCTCAAACTCATGCCCAGCCCTCTCCCCCTCTCATCTCAGCCCTCCCAGGCACCTCTCTCTCACCCACCCAGCCACCGCTCTTTCATCCTACCACCTCATGTTCAGCATACCTTGGCTCTCTCACCCGACCACCTTCCAGCCACACCTCTCTCTATCGCTCACACACGCACCTTAGCTTTGGAGCGCTGGCAGCGCAGCATGAGCCCTTCAAACACTGCACTGCCCCACGTTTGAGAATTCTAACAAGTGTATCGATCACACACACCTTGGCTTTAAAGCGCACACACGCACCTTGGCTTTGGAGCGCTGGCGCCGCAGCATGAGTCCTTCAAACACTGCACTGCCCCATGACCCCTTTCTCCTGCCCGCCCGCCGCTGCTCGTTTAGCTCCTTCTTCCCCACCACTCTCCGCCCCGCCACCACCGCTCCACCCCCCTGCACTTCCCCAGGAGACCCCCAGCCTCCGTTAATAACTGGTGCTTCCCCATGCCCTTCAGAACTTCCCATAACACTCCCTGTGACACTCCGTGTGACACTCGTTTCCCCACTCCAACCCCCAGACTTCCCCATCCCTGCTGTTGCCTCGGTGCCACCATCAGCCTTGTCTTTCCAGCTTCCTGGCCTTTCTTTCCCCCTCACCCTTGCAAAGCTTTCACCCCCACCATCAACTTCGCCTGCATTTCCATCCCTTTGCACCATGCTCTGTGCCATTTCCCCTCCTCTGCCTTTTCCCCTTCCACCCCCTCCTCCTGTTCCTCCTGTCTCTGCTGACCCCGATTCTCCACCCAATCCCCCCACCCCCAACGCGCCAGCAGCACCAACAGGAGCAGACGCCTGCCTATCTTTCGCAGACAGCCGCTTGGGCATGTCTAGTCCCAGCGCAGCAGGAGCAAAAGGCAAGGGCACGCACCCAGGCCCGCAGAACAGCAGCATGCGGTGCTGGAGCAGGGGCGAGAGGGGCGGGGTGAGAGGCGATAGAGGCGCCTCCGAGTCTGCTTGCTGCTCCTGGCGGGGTGGAGAGCCAAACTCCGAGCCCTCTCCCTGCTGCTGCTGCTGCTGCTGCTGCTGCTGCTGCAGGTCTGTGATCATGGTACCGTCGCTTTCGGCGAGAACAGACACGTTCATATCCTGGCCATCAAGCCAGTCTCCCATGCTGCCTGCTCTCGCACTCCCCCTGGAAACAGCAGCACTAGAAGCAGCGGCTGTGAGGGCTGGTGCCTGCTGGACCCCTTGTGTGTGCACACCTGCTGTTGCTCCTGCTCCTCCTGCTCCTCGTGCTGCTCCTGCTCTTGTTGCTCCTGCTCCAGCTGCTACAGTTCCTCCTGCCGAAGCTATGGGCGCGGCTCTAGAGGAGCAGGAGGAGGAGGCAGCAGTAGAAAACGAGTGTAGGCGGGGAGACACAGGCGTGGGAATGCGGGGCATAACAGCAGTGGCATGGAGCGTGGGCAGACCGCGTGTAGCTGTGGTGATAGCGGGAGAAGCGGCAGCTGCTGCTGCTGCTGCTGCTGCTGCTGGTGATCCGGAAGAGAGGCATGTAGACGCAGACAGAGCAGCCCCGGCCGCAGCAAGCAGGAGAGCAGGCGTGGTAGGGGGAGCGTGGAAAGACGGTGTGGTGGCAGGGGCAGGAACGGAAAGGGGGACAGGATGGTGAGTGGGGAAGGCAGGGTGGGGGTGGTGGTGGTGGTGCAGGTCGGCTTCGTCTTCCTCACTATCGCTGGGAGACGAGTTGTCAATAATGAGAATCTCTGATCGTACTGGTGGCTCCTCCACCTGCTGTGGCTCGATCATACCAGCATACACCTGCTGCTGCTGCTGCTGCTGATGATGCTGCTGATGATGATGGTGCTGGTGCTGCTGCAGCTGCGGCTGCGGCTGGTGGTGGTGGTGGTGGTAATGGTGATCTGCAGGATGCATCTCCGCTCCCACCTCATGCCGGTGCCTCTCATGTGATACCAGCGCCCTTTCCCCCGGCTTGCACGGGCTGGAGTGCTGAAACTCAAACGCCCCATCCTCCCTCCCGCCCTCCCCCTCCCCACCCTGCGACCCTCCCACCCCCCCACTAAGCCTCCCACTCAGCTCCCTCCTAAATTTCCTCAGAGACACCTCCAGAGGAGGGGACGAAGGGCCTCCCGTGCGTCGCCACGCTCTCTCCACCTCTCCCTCTAGGTCACTGCCCAAGTGAGAGAGCGGCGACCCTGATGTTCTATGGGACAGGGGTGAGCCTGACAAGCGCTGCGAGAGAGGCGACCCAGACAGGCGCTGCGAGAGAGGCGAGCCGGAGGTTCTGCGGGAGAGAGGCGGGGAGAGGGGGGCTTTGAGGGGGAGAGAGGAGGCTGAGGGGTGAGGGAGTCGGGGGGAAAGAGGGGAGCCGGAGGTCCTGCGGGAGAGGGGCGGGGAGGGTGGCGCTTTGAGGGGGAATGCGGAGGCTGGGGTGTGGTAGGGGCGGGGGGAGAGGGGCAGTGCGCGGGAGGAGGAGGGCACGGGGCGGGGGGAGGAGGGGAGGAGATGTGGGGTGGTGCGGCCTGGGCGGGGGGAGGTGGGGAAGTGGCGTTGCAGGGATGGGGAGCTGAGGCGCAGAGAAGGGGCGTGTGCGGTTGGGAGTGTGCTGCGTGTGCTTAGTGCGCTTTCTCTTGCTTGACCTCTGGAACCAGCACCACCACGAGCAAAGGCGTTCATAGCAGCATCAGAGCCACTGCCACAACTACTGCCACCACTAGCACTGCCAGCAGAGCGAGCAGTAGTAATACTAGCAGCAGCAGCGCCACCAGCAGCAGCAGCAGCAGAAGCAGCAGCAGCAACCCCATCATCATGACGACCCCACCACCCATCTGGGTCCTTCCATTCTGCCGCTCTCCCCCTCCCTTCTGCTCCCCCCCTGCCATCCCGCCGCGGTGTCACAAGCGCCTGCCACCCGCCTTGCTGGCTGTGGTGCTCCTGCTGGTGGGCATGGGCGCACGCCACACTATCCCGCCCACCGGCCCCACGGGCGGACAGGGGTCCCATCAGGTACCCCGCTCCCCCTCCTCCTCGTACCCCTCTTCCCCAGAAGTCCTCCTCGCTATCCCCTTCTCCTGCCGTACCGCCTGCATCATCCTCCTCCTCGTCCTCCTCCTCCTGCCCTCTCCCCAAGCTCTGTCCATACCGCTCTGTGTTTCTCGAACCTCTACCCCCGCGGCCTCTTCCCCCCTCTCTAACCCCCTGTCCCGGCAGCTGCAAGGGATTCACTCTCACCATAGCCCGCCCTGCCTTGCCTCCTGCCCACCCTCTCCCTGTGGCACCAGCAGCAGCAACACCACCACCACCAACACCAGCAGCAGCACCACCACCAGAAGCACCAGCAGCAGAGGCAGGGTTAAAACCAAGAGTCGCTCTAGGAGAGGAGAGGGCTAAGCCCCCTTGCCGCGGCACAGCAGCTCTGGGGGATGGAAGAGGACCGGGGAGAGAGGAGGACGGGGGGAGGAGCACAGGGGGTGAGAACACACCTGCTTGAACGGTTGAGGGAAGGGAGGAGGAGGGCGGGAATTGGAACTGCTGCGGCTGGTTGGGAGTGAGGGAGCGGGGAGATGGGAGAGAGGGCGAGGAGGAGTGAGAGAGGGAGTGAGAGTGAGAGTGGGAGTGGGGGTGAGAAAGTGAGTGGGGAGAGAGGGACGAGGAGGGGTTGGGAGGGGGTGGGGAGGCGGTGTGTTGCTCGGGGACTGTGTCTGGGAGGCCTGAGAGTGTGCGTGTGCGGCGGGTGGGAGGAAAGGCACTGGGATGACTGGCACGAGGGGAGGGAATCAGATGGTGGGTTAGAGGCATGGAGAGGCACGGAGAGGGCGAGTGGGAGGAGCGTGGGGACTGAGACGGGGAGGGAACGGAATGGATGGAGTAAGGGAGAGAGGATTTCGGCCGGTTAGGAGGGAGAGATTGGGTAGTGTGAGGGGGGTGGGAGCAGGCAGGGTCATGCGAGTGTTGTGGCATGTGCACGGCACAGCTGCTGCCACTGCCACTGCTGCTGCTGCTGCCAGTGCCATACTGCTGCGACTGTGCAACCACTCCCCATGACCGCGTGCGACCAGGCCCTCCTCTCACACCCGCCCCTGCCCCTGCCACTGCTGCACTCGCACACCCCGTGCCATGCGCTCCCATTGCCCCGCCCACGCCCCCGCCCATACCCCCGCCCACGCCCCCGCCCACGCCCCCGCCCACGCCCCCGCCCATACCCCCGCCCACGCCCCCGCCCACGCCCCCGCCCACGCCCCCGCCCATACCCCCGCCCATCGTGCCCCGTGTGTTGATACCTCCCATGCCTCCGCCCATGCCCCCAGCACCCATGCCAGGCATGGCGTGGTGAGGCATGCCCCCGGGGCCTGTCACAGACACCTGGTTCAGCAGCCTCTTTGGCACGCTCCTTGCCTTTCGGAACACCGCCTCCCTCTCGCCACGCTGCTGCTGCTGCTGCTGCTGCTGCTGGTACTGTTGCTGGTACTGCCGCTGCTGCTCATAATGCTGCTGTTGCTGCACCTCTCGCACACGCCCACTGCCAGCACCCACTGTGCCAGCGCCCTTGCCCCTCCCCATGCCCATGCCTGCCGTCACACCCTCCCTTCTCCCCACCCCACAATGCGCCCTCTCTGCTCCATGATCGTGTGGTGGCATCTCTCCCCCATGTCCCCCATGCCCCCCATCTCCCTCATCCTCCTCCCATCCATTCAATTCGACAAAATCGTCCTCCTCTTCCTCCTCCACACTCCCTTCCTGCCACGTGTGCGCGCTACTGCTTCCGGGCAGCCCGAAAACACTTCCAGCTGCCCAGCTGGGGTCAGGTTCGGCCGTGGTATTGTGGTTGCTGTCTGTCCATGCCCGTCGAAGGGGAGGGAGAGACCCTGACCGCGGATAGTGTTTCTGCTGCTGCTGCCCCTGCTGCTGCGAGTGCTGATGCTGCAACTGCTGCAGCTGCTGATTCTGCTTCTGCTGCTGATGCTGCTGCCAAAGCGACACCCCTGCTGCTCCGCCTCCTGCTGCTGCTACTGTCTTATGATGGGCCCCACGAGGGGACAGGGAAACCGCGTGGTGCAGTCGCTGCTGCTGCTGCTGCTGCTGATAGTCCATTCTTCCCGCAGCAGAAGCAGTAGCAGCAGCATGGGGGGGAATAGAAGCGAGACCGGTAGAGAGCGCGAGAGAAGGAGAGGAGGAGAAGGAGCGTGGGAAGGCAGCGCCACGGGGAGCAGAGGGAGCAGAGGGAGCAAAGGCCATGGGACTGTGTGCCCAGGGCAGCTCTCCTCTCGCCAACAGACGCACCGGCTCCTCCTCTTCCTCCTCTCCCCCTTCCCCCTCCTCATCCGCCCCTTTTCCCTGCAGTTTCCTCCCTCCGACCCCTCCATCCCCTCCTCCTTTTCCTCCTCCCCCTACTCCTACACTACCACCCTCCTCACTCGCATCCTCCCAATCGTGCCCTCCTCCCTCCCTTCCCCCCTCCTCTTCCCAAAACTCCTCTCCCTCATCGTCCTCTTCCTCCTCCTCCTCCTCCTCCTCCCACACGGAATGTCCCCCTCTCAGCCTGCTGCTGCTGTCCCCCAAGGGGCTTCTGGGAACGCTATCCCACACGCGGGACCGCTGAGGCGCGCTTGAAGCTTTAGACAGGCGCCGGGAAGCAGAGGCGGAGGCGGAGGCGGAGGCGGAGGCGGAGGCGGAGGGGTGTGGGGGGAAGGAAGGCGCGCGAGGGGGGAGAGGGGCAGGGGGGTGCATGGGGTGGGAGGCGCGCCGAGCGGCGGCTGGAGGGGCGGGCGGGATGGCTGATGGGGAATGGGGATGGGGATGGGGGAGAACGTGTGGTGGTGACGGTAAGGGTATGTTGTGCTGGCAGCAGGAGTGGGAGGGGGAATGGGATGCCATGTGCTGGTGCTGCTGGTGGTGATGGTGGTGGTGGGGGTGGTGGGGGTGAGGGTTGTTACTGTGGTGCGGGCAGCAGGAGGGGTGCACTGGCGGAGACGAGAAAGCAGCAGGCAGAGGAGCAGAGAGAGAATGCGGGAAGGAGGGGGGCGCAGCAGAAGCAGCGGAAACGGAGCAGGAGCAGGGCGCATGAGGCGGGAGGGAGCGAGGAGAAGGGGACAAAACGGGTTCAGCACAATGCACGCTGCACTGCACACCATGATGCACAACGCAGGGTTGTGAAGCAGCAGCAGCAGCACAACCACCACCAGCAGCAGCGCACACGTGGCCTGCTGCAGCAAAACCACCGCATTGCTGTGGCTCCTGCGGCTGGTGCTGCTGCTGGTTTTGCTGCTGCCGCCGCCGTTGCTGCTGCTGCTGCTGCTGCTGCTGCTGCTGCTGCGAGCTTTGGTGGTTCTGGTTGCGTTGAGTACTGTCTTCCCTGTGTCTCTCCCACTCCCTCTCCTTGCGCCTCTCCGCCTGCCATTCCTCCTCTAGTTCCTCCAGCACCTCTCGCTGCATCTGCTGCACTTCCCAGCTGCGTTGCGCCACACTGTGCCCGAACCACCCACCCGAACCAGAAACGCCCGAACCAGAAACGCCCGAGCCAGAAAGACCCGAACCTGAAAGCGCCCCGTGTGATTCCTCGCCGTCACTAGAGAGATAATCACAGCCGTTGCTTGGTGCACGAGCACTTGTAGTAGCAGCCGCTGACCCAAACTGCTGTCGCTGCTGCTGCTGCTGCTGTTGCGGCTGCGGCTGCTGCGGCGGCTGGCGCTGCTGCAATGGCGGGTGCGCTAAGTGTGTGTGCTGCACCCGTTGTTCCGATTCCACAGCCGCAGGACGCAGCTGCAGAGAGCGAGGGTGCAGCGGCGAGTGGGGCGAGGAGGACGAGGAGGGGGAGGAAGGGGAGGAAAGGGAGGAGGGAGAGGAAGGTGAGGGAGGGGAGTGAGGGGAGAGAGGAAGGAGAGGGGAGCGCTGCTGCTGCTGGTACTGGCGGGCACGAAGGATGGAGACATTGCGCAGCAGCACTGGCTCCGGTTCTGCTGAGCCTGCGGATGCACCCCCGTGTGCCTGCTGCTCCCTCTCCTCTTCCACTCCCTGCTGCTGCTCCTGCTCTTGCTCCTGCTGCTGTTGCTGCGCCTGCTGATGCTCCGACTCTGGTTTATCCGAGTGTAGCTGCTCCGACTGCTGCTTCCCCAGCTGCTGCTGTTGGTTTTCCTCCTCCGCCTGCTTGCTTGCTTCTCCTGCCTGTGCCCCTGCCTGTGCCCCTGCCCGTGCCTGCACCATCCCCAGCGTGGACTCGTCTGCCCCCACTGCCCTTTCCTTCTTCAACCCTAATTCTTTTCTTTTCTCGTCCCCCTCTCCCACCGCACCCCCTCCTCCCCCCGCACCCCCTTCTCCCTCCGCCCCTCCCCCTCCCCCCATCCCCGCGCGCCCAGCGTCCGCGTCCGCCTCCCCGCGCCCCTGGCTCTCCTGCGCCTTGGCCAGCCGCATCTCCTCCCGCCGCCGCTGCCTCTGCTCCGCCCACAGCTGGTGCAGCCGCACCTGCTGCAGCGTGCGCTGCCGCTGCTCCTCCGCCAACGCACCCCCCCCATCCTCCCCCGCGCCCCCTTCCGCGCCCCCCGCGCCCAGCCGCGCTCTAGCAGCCGCGCTATTAAGCGCCCCGCGGGGCTCTGTAACAGACTTGCGCAGCACTCTCCTGGCGCTGACGTTGGCGTTCCCGCTGCTGCTGCTACTGCCGCCCGCTCCGCCTCCTGTCGCCTTCCCCTGCCCGCGTCCCCCGCCGCGCCCACGGGCCTGCGGTCCTTCCGCCTGCCGTTGCTCTTCCCGCGGCTCCACCTCTCCCCCATGCTTCCCCTTGCCCTCCCCCAACATGTGCTCACGCGCCCTGCCCCCCGCCCTCCCCCGCCCTCGTCCGCGCGCGTCAGCCCGTCCACGGCCTTCCCCTCCCCTTCCGCCCTCCCCACGACCTCGTCCCCGCCCCTCTCCCCGCCCTCTGCCCGCGCGGCCGTCCGCCTCCGCGCCCGGTTCCGCCGTCGCCCCCAACGGCCGCGCGGATGGCGCAGTGCCAGGCTTCAGCCGGCGGAGAGAGGCGCTGCGCTGGAAACCTGCGCCCGCGCTCTTATCCGCACCACTACCAGGCGCAACGCCCTCCGCACTGCCGCCGGCATCCTCTCCCCTCCGCTGCTGTTGTTTTTTGCGCAAGTCGCCGGCCGCAGCACCCAACGCTGTGTCGCCATCGTCGCCACCCGTTTTCCCCCGCTCGCCCCTCTCAGCTGCGCCAGGCGCGCAGCTCGCATGCGCGCGACTCCCCGTGCGCGCAGTTGCCCGCGCCGCTGCCGGCGCAACTTCAGCGGAATCAGACGCGCTCGGCACAGCCGCGGGCAGACTTCCCGCGTGCGCCGAGGCCCCCTCTGTCTGCGCAATTTTTCCGCGAGACGAGCCGTTTCGAAGGGGCTGAGTTACCCCTTCTCGCGCGTCTTTAATCTGTACACGTTCCGCTGTCGCGTCTTGATTGGGTCGCCCATTCAGCGTCGCTGCATCCCGCTGACGCCCCTCGCGACACTCGATGAGCGACGCTGTTACCTCTTCTGACGATATTTCATTTGTCGCAATTCCGTTCGCTAGGGAAGGACGAAGCAGCGCGCCGGGGTCTGTTACGGAAGCTTCGGTTTCCGCGACCCCTGACGCGCGCACGGCCATCCGCAAAGCAGCGCCACCATCAGCGCCAACCATGGCGCTATCGCTAGTACCTCTAGCAGCTCTACCTCTACCTCTACCGCTACCGTTACCACTAACGCTACCGGTACCGCTAGCACTAGCATCGTTAGCGCGTTCTTCGCGCTCTAACTCACAAGGGACGGCATCGTCACATGATGGATGAGGAGGAGTAGGAGCATGGAGAGGCGGCGAGTCTAGCGGCTGTTGCTGCTGACTTTCCCTGCCGTTCAAAGTGCCAGGCTCTGCCGCTTGAGCGGACAACCCGGCCGCCGAATCGGCGGGGTAGGGTGAAGAGTGGTGGGACTTACCCGGCTGCGACGCGGTTCGAGCGAGTACGAGGCGCGGGGGCGCCTTCGGGGCGCCCTCCTCCCGCCAGGCTTCCACCACTCTCAACCGGTACACACCTGGCGGCTCTTTCTCCGGTCGCTCGGATGTCGTCAACCATTGTGTTACCTCCGCCATTACAGTTGACTACAGTCTAATAAGTCTATCAAGTAGAGTGAGGGCTAGACTCGATAAGAGCATTCGCGTTATCAGATAATAAGAGCCTATGACGACGTGACGCCTCGTACCAGGCGACATAACCATCGTCGCATCACGTCGCCTGGACGATCGTCTGGGATGGATCTTTTTCGCGGAAGCGCCATCCGAGGCACAACAACGAAAGGAGATGCGGCCTTACGAGTCGCGACAACTAGTTCTTTTTTTTAAGAACATAACGTTTCCGCCGCCCATTGTGCGGCGCGCGGAAAAGCTTGAAGTAACTGATTCGGCAGACGGGGGAGCAGCGGCGGGAAGAGGATTGGACAAGGGGTAAGTCAAGAGTGAGGAACTAGAATGGGTGCGGTTGAGGGGGAAACGAGTTGGAGCGGGGCGGGGGTGGGGGAGAGGGATCAATGAAAGGAGCTGTTGGATTGACCTGGCCGTCCTAGCCAGGCTCGAACGAAAAGCAAGCAAGCAGGTGCTGTACGCCAGTGGAGGCATCGTAACGTCATTGCTTTAGCGTGTTGCTTTGGTGTGCTGCACAAAACCGTGTTGGGAGGGAGGGAGGATACGTGCTCCTGGTTGGTTGGAACTGGAATCAATTGCAGGTGTATTGAAGGAATTGTGCCAAGGCATTGTGGCGACGTCACACAACATGGCAAGCTCATACAAAAGCTAGCTCTGCTATGCTTTGCAGAGCAATCCATACTTTCCTACAAGTGTTTTTGCATGAGCTACCCTAAAAATAAAAGGATACCCTGTTAAAGCGGGTCAATTCGATTCAGAGCAGCTCGCATTGGGTCCTTATTTCCTCAGCACACTGTACAGTGATTTTCTAACGTTTGAAACTTCAAATGCAGACTGTAGTCGTTCAGATTCTCCGTCCGTTGTGACTGGAACAAGGGGGTGCTCCTGGAAGACAGCCAGCATATGCGATGCTTTGTGCGTTTGGGTACGGTGGGAGAAGGCGCGTCCCTCCGTGGGCTGGCTTCCTGCCCAGAGTGACTTGGAGTGGTTTGCCCTTCCGTATTGCGGACCGCGGGCTCGAGACGACCCAGCGACGTAAAGTGTCGCAGGCTGTCGCTGGCAGGGCTCACCTTTTCAGGATGTTCGACCATGTTCGCCCTGCCAAGCAGGGTGAGTTTTTGTCTGTACCCTGCTAAGACTGGATCTCCCTGGGACGTCACCCGGCCACAATTCGAGTGCCTTTTTGGGTTGCGTAGCAACCCTTTATATTTGGTTTCACATTTTGGGGAGATCATTTGAAGAGTGTATTTACACACTTTTTGGAGCACCCGTTTTGAATGTTTTGATACTGTGTTCAAACGGATGCCTCAAATAATGGATAAAAAACACCCTTGAACGACATCCCCATATGTAAAACCAAATACCGGAACGCACGTACGTATCATGTTGAAACCATGAACTTGCTCGACCGTCCCAACCTCGTCGATAAATACGGCGGATCGTACGGCCGAGCATAAAATTCTGGCATCAACATGAACGAATGAACAACAAGGTATGAGGTGGAATGGATGCTTCAAAATGAATGTTAAAATGCATCATGCAGCAACAGAGGTTGATGGGGTCGTTGAAACAGCGCAAACCCGCTGCCCCAAAGACGATTAACAACCTCTAATTGCATACATAACACACAATAACACCACACTTTGAAACACACATCCCACAAACACGAATGCAAACGCACGTAAAAAATGTACAACACCACGCAACGGTTATGAACGGATCGAAGAGCAACCCCACAGTGAAACAAACACAACGAACAGACATGCACACACACGCAAACAAGCACAGAGAGATACAGATACCGTAATAAACACACAACCGTCATAAATAAAATTCAGAATAAATAATTCCTAACCTATCCCACCTTACCCTCCCTACAACCCTCCCTCCTTCCTTCCCTCATCTCCATCCCACTCCCTCATCTCCCTTCTCAGCTCACGCACGCGCCTTGCACAAAGCAAAATCAGTGAAGTCAACACACACACGCCCAGGCAAAAACAGGGAAGTCAACACACATACGCCTTGCACAAAGTTAAAACAGGGAAGTCAACACACACACGCCCTGCACAAGCAAAACACACCTTGCACAAAAATCAGTGCATGTTCCTACACTGTGTACAAGAAAGCAAAAATGGGATACCGCAACACACGTGCTCTCTCATGCACTCTCTCACGCGCACTCTCATGCGCTCTCTCACGCGCTCTCTCACACGCTCTATCAAGGCGCACTCTTAGGGGCACTCTCAGGCGCTCTCTTTCGCGCTCTTTTTCCCGCACGCTCATGCGCATTCTCTCTCTTACGTCCTTTCTCTCGCGCACTCTCACGCACATTCTCTCTCTCAAACGCCCTCTCACGCGCACCCTCACACGCTCCCTCATACGCTCTCTCACGCGCTCTCACACGCGCTCTCTCACGCGCTCTCACACGCGTTCTCTCACCCGCTCTCTCATGCGCACTCTCAAGCGCTCTCTCACGCTCCCTCACGCGCTCCCTCGCGCACTCTCAGGCACACTCTCACGCACTCCCTCTCGCGCTCTCTCTCGCGCACTTTCACCACATTCTCTCTCTCGCGCACTCTCACCACATTCTCTCTCTCGCGGACTATCACACGCATTCTCTCTCTCGCGCTCTCACGCGCACTCACACGCGCTCCCTCACGCGCTCTCTCATGCTCACTCTCACGCGCACTTTCACGCACTCTCTCCTGTGCTCTCTCACGCGCTCTCTCACGCGCTCTCATGCGCCCTCTTGCGCTCTCTGACGCACTCTCTCACGCGCTCTCTCAAGGCACACTCTCAGGCACACTCTCACGCACTCTCTCTCGCGCTCTCTCTCGCGCATTCTCACCACGTTCTCTCTCTCACGCGCACTCTCACGCGCTCTCTCACGCGCTCTATCAAGGCGCACTCTTAGGGGCACTCTCAGGCGCTCTCTTTCGCGCTCTTTTTCCCGCACGCTCACGCGTATTCTCTCTCTTACGTCCTTCTCTCGCGCACTCTCACGCACATTCTCTCTCTCAAACACTCTCTCACGCGCATTCTCTCTCTTGCGTCCTTTCTCTCGCGCACTCTCACGCACCGCTGTGAGAGTACGACGGCTTATGCCAGCTATGCTTGCTTGCCTTTACTTTATTATGCTATTTCTAGCATAGGAAAATTATATGCATGCATGAATTGCTTGATTTCCTAGGCTAGGTGCTTTCCTATATTTTATTATAGTTATAGCACCGAGCTTGGTTGCGTGCACCGAATTCTGGCTTTTCGGTTGCCACCGAATTGCCTTCTACCGAATTCGGGAAGGATCTGTTCGGGACGCTTCGCGACCCGCGGAACCTTCGCGTAACACCTGGTTACGGGGCCTTGTGTCGAGCCTATATATAGCCTCGTGTTGTACCCAGGTGATCATTCAATTCACATTCTCTTTTCTGAGCTCGATCCTAGATCCTCACACTTGGTAATCAGAGCCCGATTACACGCGAAGTTCTTTCGACCGCTACAAACCAGTCTTCAAAAAACCGCGGGGGCGACGCAGTTAAACATCGATTTCGGGTACGTAAAACCGGTTCCGTGTTTTTCACTCCCCCTCGATTCGGTTTTTCGGACGCGTTGATGTCAGGCATGGAAGGCCAAGGCGACAACTACGC